CTCCGTCATATAATTGTTGGGGCACTCTTTCACCATTTTCCTATATCTTTCCCATATATCATGTAGTGGTTCATTAGGCTTTTGCTTGAATGCTAGAATTTCATCCCGAAGAATGGCCATGTGCCCGGAAGAGAAGTACTTTGAAATACATTTCTCCGCTAGTTCATCCCAAGTATGAATGGAATAATTTGGAAAATGTTCCAACAAATCTAAAGCTTTCCCCTGTAGAGAGAAGGGGAAAAGCCTTAGCCTCAAAGCATCCTCTGAGACTTTTATTTGTTTGCTTCCCCAACTCGTATCAACGAACCCCTTCAAATGTTTATATGCATTTTGACCCGGTGCACCGGTGAAGAACCCTTGTTACTCGAGAAAAGTGAGCATCACGTTAGTTATTTAAAATATTCTCGCCCTAATACAAGGTGGGACTATAGCACTTGCATACCCTTTATTCGGCAGCACCTGGTGTGGAGCAGCTCGTGGTGGAGGTGGGGGTGGAACGGGAACATTGTCTTGAAGCGGTCGGCTTCGTCTATTGCCTTGTGGTTCAAGAGGGACCTCATCCATTGCATCATCATCAATGTCCACATCCCCCACGGCTATGTTTCCGAGCTAATCTTTTGCCATGATTGCACCTACAATACTCACACGTTAGTAACAAGGAAGGAAAAGAAGATATTCTAAAAATACACCTAAATATATAGCTAACACCGTCTTTTAGCTCCCCGGCAACGGCGCCAAAAATTGATCTCGTCCAATTTCAATCCTCTATTTGAGGATATAAAAACGGTCAATGCAATAGTAATACACAACAAGGAGTCGGGGTTGATTTTCCATAGGGAGCTATGAATGGGTCTTACGGATATATATATTATAGTGTACGAGCTTGAATTATCTCAAATTGCACTTCCATAAACTTGGGTTGTTTCTAGGTCTAATTTAAATGAAGATTACAAACTAAGAATTTAAACTAGGAAAGTTTTTTTGGTTGTTTTTCAAATGATATAAAAGGCATAGGGCTATGACCTTCACCTAGGTATTTGCCTAATGGGTTGTAAACTTTAAAGCTTGTTTTATTGGTCGGGGTGCATTATAGCTATCAACACCCAAGTACCCACTCAATACCTCTCAGTGAGAGAGTGACTTTTCCCAATTTGGCTTTTCTAAGTCCAAATGGGTATTGAACAAAATAGTTGATGATAAGCACAAGTCGGATTTCACTATCTCTAGGTTTAACCCTTTAATTGGGCTTATCAATCTCTCGATTGACCCAATTACTTGCTAGCCAAGTTTTCGTAGACTAAGTCTCTCTTTCTGAAGTAGAGACCAAGCCAAATAGGCATGAAATAATATTTGCAACCATTAATTCTTCACATAAAAATAAGAATTAGGTTAGATAATCAACACCCAACCATAAACAAGCAATAAATAAATACCCATTAGGTTTACATACTAGGGTTGGGTCATAACCTAGTGAAAATCTAGTTACTCATGCTTAAATTGGAAGAAAAATATGAAGAAGTGATAATTAAACCCATATTGATAATTAAAATGATGAAATCAATATTCAAAAAGCTAAGAATAGCAAAAACTACTAAAAAGAGTAAAAGAAAACGTCTACTATAGCTGCTGATGTCAAAACTTGACCTAAAAAAGTAAAACTCTTCTATTTATATGGTGCTGGAATATTCGGATAGAAACACCCTTTCGGAGGTTCTGCGGCCGCACAATTCCATGTGCGGTCCGCACTTTGCTTCAGCCTGACAGGAATTGAAACCTGCAGCCGCATAATTCTGAACTGCGGCTGCACTTCTCTCTTTCTGCGGTCTGCGCATTTCTGAGTGCGGCCGCACATTGCTCTTCTGTCGACCGCACAAATGTGACTGCGGCCGCGTAGCTGTTCTTCTGCGGACGCACAATAATTGTACGGTCCGCACTTCTGTTGAACTTGAGATGCAAGTTCTCTGAACTTTTGCTCCCTCCCAGGTTCTGCTCTTTGCACTTGTCTATGATAGGAGTTTCTTCACAATCTGCGGCCGCAGATGAAAATCTGCGGTCCGCACTTCTGAGCTTTTGTGCATGTTTGTGTCCTTGAGTTCAGATCACTCCTTCTTGAGTTGGACTTCATCTTGGGAGCTCATTTTTTACTATTCCTACAATTAAGCATATTTCATCAGTTTTCGGGAACACAATTAAACGCTTTTGGACTAAAACGAAAGCAAAAAGGTGCTAATAATTAGTCAAAATCTCCACTTATCATCTATGACCGGCCCGGAAGGAGGGCCAATCACCATCGCTACCAGAGATGACTCGGGGGCATCGGTCCTGACCCTTTTATTCTTTTCCCCAGTTTTAGATGAGTGTTTTCTCTTTGGTTGTTTGTCTTCCAGCCGGGGACTCCGAAAAGAAGCATTTGCTCTCGAAGCAGGCCCGGAGCCACCTGTTTGAGTAAGCGCCTCCTGAAGCATCCTCGTTGCATCAGCAGGATCAGCCAAGACATCCTCCTCAGGAACAACAATAGAGCCCGCAGGTAGACCTAATTTCATAGACAGTTTAGAAGAGATCAATCAAGTTCTTTACATGAAAAATTGAAACAAGATGAGCTTGAATTACCATGATTCTTGGCCTTCCACACGTATTTAGGGGCTAGTTCTTTCCACAAGTGAATCTCTGGCGTCGTAACATCCAAGATTTTTTGTACCCACCTATCCAAACCTCCAATCACTGGTGGGACCCACCAAGTTTCTGAAACAAACGAAGGATGGAGGATCAATACGGCCATTAAATATTTTTAGTAAAAGGAAATACTAAACAAAGAACTTACGAGTGCGGTTCCAAGCGGCCGAAAAGGATGAAGTCGTTGCCGGAATGATATCGTCGGTGGAAATTGCAACGACCCATTCCATCCACCCACGGTCGTTGTCATCATCCATGCTAAACAATAAAGCATGGTGGCCACGCTTGCAGAGGTTTATCATTCCCCAGCGGAAGATTATGGGAGAATAAAGATTCATCATGTGATCTAAGGATAGCTCATCTCCAGTTTACTGGCACAAATGTCGAAGGCAAGCAACCGTCCTCCACACAAAAGGACTGACTTGTGCCAAACACACCTGGTAACGGAGATAAAACTCCACAATCACGGAGTCAAGCTCTCCGCTTAAAGAAAAGACACCCCAAATAAAGGGATGCATGTAAACATATGTAAAACCCTCCTTGGGAAGGGTGACTCGCTCCGATAGATCAAGAGTGATAATTTCTATGTCATGGCAGCGACGATCTTCCTTCACAACAGGGATGCTCGAAGGACGTATGGAATAAGGATACCTGCTAACGGCCCATGTATAAGAATTAGCAGTAGAGAATTTCTCTTCGAAGTCTTTTATGGTAATAAGACTTCAGGGGATGATGGAGCCCACTGTTGGAGGAACAAAGTCCTCGACTTTATTTTTGCTTTTTGAGGAACCAGTACGTTTTGAGGAAGAAGCCATTGTAGGAAAGAAAGGGTCTTTCGTTTGAAGAGAATTAGAAAAAAAAGATGAAGAAACAATATGCAAGTTAGATGAAGGAAGTTTGAAAAGTTATGAAATATAAGGGTGGAAGTTGATACGTATAAGTAAAAGTTTTGGCGGCTAAATTCATGGCCATGATTACCTCGATAATTGGCAAAAGATATGCTAAATCATGGGAAGACATGTGTTCAACGCATTAAATGCGGAGAAACATGCGTCTAATCAACCGTCAGAAGCCTTCAGAGAGAATTATAGTAATTCCCGCCAAAAAAGTATTTCTACCAACTTTCCGGTAACACAAAGTTTTGTCACCGAAAAGCAAGGGGAGTATCTGTTTTGAGTAAAATATATTATGACATGTGGCTGTCCAAGAAAGGGACACATGGAACCCAAGACAAGGTGATGACTGAAGACTGAAGACAACTGTTTTTCACCGGGAAGAATAATGCTCATAAAGATGTGATAAATACTCTTCTCCCGGTAGCATTCAATAGAGAATTTCATAGCATTAAGAGCAGTTATCCGTTACAAAGAATTTGGCATTTATGTTCACTGCTACATCTTCATCAATGCCCCTCATAATTGACATTAAAGAAGGGCATGGCCATAGGACCTTCTTCATAGCTATAAATAGTGAGCTCAGTTGTCATGGTAAGGGGGAGGAATTTTCTGGCAAAATTATAGTATATTTTATGCAAAGCTCAATCCAATCTTATCTTCTGATTTCTCGATTCTTTTGTTGTTGAGCCCGGAAACTTCGTTCCTGGAATTGTTACTTTTGTTGTTTCGTCTATATCTTAAGGCTAAGTATTGCGTGACTCTTAAATTATTTATTTGTTTCAGGATCAAATTAATTCATTTATCTAGAAACCACGTATAAATTCAACTGTACCGTTTTACGGGTAAACATTCACATGCACATGTATCATGTAGGGACTAGTTTCCCCAACTTAGGTCATACACATGATCATCTTGATGACCAAATATTTGTCCTCCGCCAGCCGGTTATAAGTGAGTATTCATTCTTTTTTTCAACAAAAAAAAAAAGCATTTTAAATCATTATTTGTTTAACTACCAAATCAAACTAATAAAAGCTATATATATTTAACTAACTTGTTTACCCGAAAAATCGGATAACGTTAGATTTGTGTATGGTTCTAAGGATATGCGATAAAATTTGATATAAATCGTGTTGAGAAATAGAAATAAGTGTATTCTTGACTATGAGAATGAAAATAGTGAGCAAAAAGAACGAATAAGATAAAGTCAATCAAACACAAGGGGATCTCTTTCAATATGAGAAGTGATCTTTTTGTTGCTGTCTGTCGTGCCCTTAGCTTACAAGGACCCCCCTTTTATAATAGAGGGTCATTACATTATTTATAACAAAATAATAAAATAAAGCATATAGTGGAGAACCCATGATGTTTTGTCTCTTCCTCGATTCCCGCCAAGATTCTCTCCCTTGGTGCGGTTGCAACGGTTCTTGTCTATGAGCTCAACACTGGCTCGAACTCGATACTGGTCCGAACTCGATACTGGCCCGAACCCGTTACCGGGTCGGCTCTTCGATCTTGGCTTGAGCTCGACCTTCGTGGCGGGCGTGGTGCATTTCCGACCTCGAAGCAACGCCTCGGGCTCGATAGGATTATCGAGCCGTCTCCTCGAGTTGTCTTTGGACTTCGAAGCTCGTTTGTACTGCCTTCGGAGCTTACTCCCAAAATCCTACTCTGATTTCTTGCCACTCGATCTCGATCGAACGTAAGAAAGCCGAAATCTGTTTTAACCGTATACATAACTAAAACCAAAAAAATCATTTTACTACTCTTTGTAAATTCTCTTATTGGTAAATTTGGCTACACAGCTATCCAAATTGACTCAGCACCTCCACAAGTTTAGGTGAGAGCTCGATCGTTAATTCCCTTTCTTAGATGTATAGTGGGTTTACGATATGACAATTTTGTGGAGAATCCTGCTGCTGCTACTGATATATTGGTTATTTGGTCCCCTACTCAATCTATGATTATATCAGAGTCAAATCGAAGTCTTCCTTTGTATTTTTTTTATCAGTAATATTTCTGGTTATTTTTCCTTGCCTTTCTCTGCCTGTACTTTTCGTTTCTCAGAAATGGATCACTCACTTTACATAGTGCTCCTATAAAGCCATAGATTCTGTATATGGTGGCATGCTAATAACGATCCATACTACTGCCAACCTTCATGTGCAGGCCTAACATTTCCTTGTCCTTGTGAAACTTAATTGAAATTTGAAAGCTCCATTTTTGGAAAGTCAAATTATACTGGTGTTCAGATAACTCCAATATAATCTCCTTCAGTCCAAATGTGCACTGTTCCCTCTCCTTCTTGCATAATCACCTAACATGTGTANATATAACTAGCCAAGAAGCTGTAAATTAGGCATATAGATGTAGGGACTGATTTAGTTACCGCTATTAGAAGACCAATTTCCACTGAGCCAAAGAGTACTCCAAAGAAGGTAGCAATGCAAATAATGAAGTCTGTCTTATCCACTTTCCAAATATGGCATGCTTCATTAATGTCAATTAATCCTGGAAGTGCTGATATGATAATTGATGCAAGTATAGCCAATGGAGTATAATACAATAGCTTAGTTAACAACTCTAGGGATATGAGTACTGTGATTGCCATAACTATGTTTGACACCACAGTTTCACATCCTGCACTGAAATTTACTGCTGTTCTTGAAAATGAACCTTCAACAATGATAATAGTAAAAACTTATCAGTTGCAAAATTAAAGTATAGTACTAAAATGAATAAAAAATTGTCTAATTGATAGCTTACCAGTTGCTATGTAGCAAGAAGTTAAAGATCCCACAACGTTCATACATCCCATGGCTGTCATTTCTTTGTTTCCATCAAGATGATAGCCTTTGATTGAAGCGAAAGATCGGCCTACAGCAATGGCTTCCTGTTGACAGCATCTTGGTATAAGGATATTTTCATCTAAGTTGAGAAGTATTGGATGGAAGACAGAAACAAAGATTAGAGACAGACAGTAAGAGCGACGATAGCACAAATTAGTCCAATTTTCGCGACTTCTCCAATGTGTGGATCCTTGAACTGTAATTGATGAACTGAACTTGGAGGGTGACCCCCTTTGAAGTGTTTTACAATCTTGACTCCATGTTGATCAGCTTTGGATAGATAAACTATCAAAGTCGATAGTATAACCGATACAAGAGGAGCCATTGCTGGTAGCCAGAACATTTTCTTGTTCCTTTTCCCCTGTAGTTTTTCAAGTTCCCAAGAGATGAATAAAATGCAGGACACAGCTACCGTATAATAAGATAAAAAGATGATTAAAAATAAAATAAAGAAGTAGCTACTTACAATGAACCTGGTAATTAGGATGAAGACGAGGAACGAGCAGCCAAGTATAAAATTCAGAGGAAACCACTAAAAAGGTGCAAAAGGAAAATTTTAGTAAGCCAAGAGTAAGATAAAAAAGTGCAACAGATAAGAGAAAGAGGAGAATAGTTTCCAAATAAAGAAGATGCTCACTGGCTCATTATGGAATGATTTGAAAACAGCTACCAAAACAGACACCACATCAGTTTGGGTTGTGAAATGGTTGATTCCAAGCAAACCCTTTAACTGTTGGAGGCCTATTACAATGGCTGCGCCTCCCATGAATCCAACTATTGCAGCATGTGAAAGAAAATCCACTAGAAATCCCAACCTGATAATTAAGTACTGTAAATTAACAACCATATTCCAGGAGAGACAGAGCTACTTTTACAATCCTTTCCAAGTTTTATAATAATATTTTTTTTTTTAAAAGACAAAAGAAATTTGTTACTCCGGCATATTTGGACTACAAGTTCCAAGGATACTTTTGGTACGTGCCAAAAGCATGTATTTCTTTCTTAAATTTTATGATCAATCAAACACCGCCATATAAAATAAAATGAAAGGAGTACCTGAATAGACCAAAAACAGCCTGAAATGCACCGGTGAAGAATGTGGCAGTGAATACAAGATTCCTGTAAGCAATAGGATCAACAGCAGGGTCTACAAGTTTGGGAACCATAGCAGAAAGCAGTAGTGATACAACAGCAACAGGGCCAATGGCTATTTCTCGCGAACTCCCCATCATAGCATATATCAATGGTGGAACAACACTTGTGTCTGAAACAAAAAGAGAAAAGCACACATAAACTAAGACCAACAAGAAACAGAGATGAGCCAAAGATATATAACTGGTATTGGAACTTACATAAGCCATATTGAGGATCAAGTTTTGCAAGATTAGCATATCCAATACTCTGTAAGAAGTTTAATATTTTAAGCCATATTATTAAGTAACAGAAATGTAAGAAGCATCGTTTTAATCACCTGAGGTATGCAGAGACTGGCAAGAGTTAAGCCAGCCATTAAGTCATGCTTGAACTTTGTAGCTTTATAATTTCTTCCCCATTTAAGAATTGGAAATAAGCCTTGCATGAATGAGAAGAAAGCTCCTTTTCTTGATTGTTTTGTGGTCTTTCCGTGGGGCAAAACAGTTTCTTTTACTGTATTAATGAATTCATGGCAAAGGCTTGGTGGATTAGGAGAAGTCAGTAACCACTGAGTCCTCTCCTTCCTTGCAGTATCAGTACTAGCTGCATCAAGCTGCTGCAGCTCAATGCTAAAGCTCTCATTGGCTAGTGATTCCATTTGTTTCTTCAAGTGTTTGGGTTAACTCTGGAGTTAAACTCTTCTCCTCTCATAATCCAGATGAAGTATAAATACTAGTCCTATTAGACAATATATGTGTCCCACATGGATTTTTTTTATTTTTTTTTTGGTAAGAGGGAAACCCGCTCAACCTAGAAGACATTGAGGGGGAATCAATCTCAAGTCATCCGCATGGATAACCACCATCCAAACCAACTGGGCAACCCATGAATTATGGAAGGATTCTTAAGGAGGTCTATAATGGACCTAGGCTAGGCTACACCCAATTCTTTGTTTTGGTTTGGAGGCTCAAATTATTTTACTTAATATGAGAGTCAAATATTTTTTTGGACAATTCCCATAAAAACCCGCAGCCACTACCCTTTCGGGTGCGCATTGGGTAACATGTTCACTGTACAATAGCTCGCAAATCACACAGGAGATGTAAGTCGTAGGCAACCCCGTGCGAAGAGCTCTGACTGAGAAGGTTGCTGGTGACGGAGATCCCAGGTCTCTCATGTGGAAAATAACTCACCCAACCCTTACGAGCATGAGAGTCAAATATGGATAAGTTAATTTGCTAGCATTTTTACTCCAAACACATTGTATGAATCCACTCTTGCTTCTCTTAATTCAACTCATCGAGCTAATAACTCTATCTAGGTACTTCTTAGCTTGTATAGCTCAAATTTATGTCCCAGGTTCATTCATTAGTCATTAGCATGTTGAATATATAATTACTTTAGATTTTCCAAAGAAAGACACAAAAACCCAAAGCAAAAATTAAAGTTCAAAACAAAAAAAGAAGTATTTACAAATATGGACTTATTCACTTATCGTCTTAAGATTTTCAATTGGAAGCTCAGATAACACAATATACCTCTTAAGTCCACCATTGATAAAGACATTATTATAGTGCGTATTATTATCATGCGACTATGTTATCGAGTTGACGGAAAAGAAAGACTCAACAATTAGGTGAGTCATCTAGTACTGTGGTATATATAATAAAATATTATTATTATTATAATCACTATTGTTATTATTATTATTATTGCTGTCGCTATTGAACGATATATATATATATAGCACTCCAAGAAGCAAAATGAAAAATCGTTTGTGAGAGTACTCAGAAAAGCAAGCAGCGAAAGCACCCCTGGTGGCCAACTCTCCATCTTTCTATGAACCAATGGGCCTCCATCCTCAGATTCCATTACTGTATCTAACAGTCCGAATAAATAATATGGCAAAGCATATGTACGTTGGAGTTATAATTCAGAGTACTGATGAACATAGCCCAGACAGAATTTAGTGGGCAGGGTCCAAGAATATTCTAGCTTGACAATAACATGCCCTAAGTTTGTGCGATGGTACGATCTTTTTGTTGTAAATTGAGTTCTGATGATTAACAAATATGTAATTTGGTTATGTAGGTGTGGTAAATTTGAGACCCTGTTTTTGCTAACTGGTTCTTGTACCACGTCCAGCATGAAATTCACTTTACGGATAGTTTTTCAATTATAATGAGCTGACAACAGCGTATATTTGTGGAAAATCTTGGCAATTCTTAAATACTTAATCATAGGCAAGTTTATAAGGAAATAAAGTCCATATGGGAAATAATAAAATCAAGAAGATCTTTATTCCTTTATTCTCGGGGTTAGAAGATTTTTCGGGATTATCTCTTAATTAACCTTACTGTTAACTGTATTGCTATATATGTATAACGTTTGACATATTGCAGTTATATGCACCTACACCGAAAGCTTTGAAAGAACATACACGCAAGCAAAAACAATCGGAAGAGCAACAGAAAGATAAACTCAAGAACCATGTTCCATGGAGTCAAGTCCAGTTTAAGTTGTCTTGATCTTATAGTTGGTGTTTTGAATTGTAACCTTACTCTGCATTTTCTAGAAGTACTTTTGTAAGGAAGGAATTAGTTTAGAGTTAGTAGTTACAATCATCTAATTTGCAGACTGTTAAGTGATTAGAGTTAGTCTCTTAGCTTATAATATAAAAGAATTTTTGTAACATGATACTGCTCATTGTTTTTAGTGAAGTTTGTGAGGAAAATCCTAGAGATGGATCTTGCTTTTTATTCCCTTGAGCAAGGAAGTTTTCTGTGTAAAAATTCATGTCTTCTTATTTTTTGCACTTATTTATTGTAGAACCAGTTGAGAACCTGGTTCTAGATATGACGTTAGAATTTCCGATATAAAATTTTAATAGATCAATACACTATTCATTTCTCCCCCTTGTGGTGTACTAAACTAACACTTTCCGTCTCAGATATTTAAGTGCCGTTTATCCCAAATTTTGCAAAAATTGACTTTCCAGTTTTTAAGTTTGGCAAAAGCCGTTTATTTGATCATGTTTTTCAAGAAGTAAATCTTTTTGAAATGTCTAACCTCAACTTTTTTAATCTTGCAAAAACTAAAAGCGACCTTAGTTGTTAAATCTTGCAAAATCTGTATCAATTAAACAAACCGTTTTTATAAGAACTTAATTATAGCTAATTAAAAGAAGCTTTTGAAACTCATTTTAGCAAAAATTGAAACTAATGCGATTCGAGTGTTGTGAACTGTCAAGTAAAAGAGGGAGCTGAGAAGATGAAGATAAGGTTTCGGAATTAGATGCCCATTAAACCAAGTTTCAATTTCAACCGTCCATATATATAAGGGGCGGAGCCAGCCTTATAGCCGGTGCCGGCCCAAGGGGAGGCAGTTAAAGCAATTGATTTAGGCCCCCTAATTGAAGGTCCCAATTTTCAGTATTAGTTAATTTTATATTATTATAACAAAGATATTAGCTTTATGTTTTTTTCTTTTTGGATATAGAATTTATTTAGAAAAAATAGAGGTTATTTAGATAAATACTTGAATTTCATAATAAACATACAATATCGCAAAATAACAGTTTAATGATGACATTGATAATAAAAAAATAAAAACAAAATCTCTTGTAATTATCTTTTTAAGTAAATTATTTCTTATAAAGAGTATATCAAGTCATTTTTTTTAATCAAATAAACTTGAACTCTTACAAATGTATAAAATTATTTAAAATATACTTTAGTAGTATAAAATTACGATCATTAGATGTTGAGAACTTATAAAAATATTTTCTTAACCGCAGATATTTCTTATTAAAAATATTTGAAACCTTGGTGAGTAGAGTTACTAGATATCTTCGATGGTGAAATCTAGCAGGTAACCGAGTGAAGGGCCAAAATACATACAAAACGGTCCATAAAACTATTATTAATAACAAAAAAAAAATCATAAATATATATAATTTTATTAAATAAAATTTGGGCCTCTTCTTAAAGTTCGGCTTTAGGCCACCAATTTCGTTGAGCCGCTCTACTTATAGCTACGGGTTTGACGGTCCAGAACCCATAAACTAAACACCCCAACTCCGTCTCTGTCCATATAAAGTATCCATGTATTTCTAGACATCTTAGAAAGAGATCAGCACCGCGCAAAGAACATGACATGGTAATAACAAATTATATACTCATGTGCATGTTTTACATGCTCAAAGGAGAAATTCGAGTTACTCATGAGTCATGATTATGGTCAATTCATGTCAATCTGCAGCGACGGTACTTGCAGAAAAGTATAGAATAGCACCTCCACAACAAAAGTATAGGCGTGAGCTAATTCCCTTTCTCACAACATAGTGGCTAGTTGACTGCTACTCTTATATTGGTTATTTGTCCCCCATTCAATTATTGTCGTCGGATATATGATTAAATCAAAACAGTCGTCGTCTTTCATTGTATTCTTTCGATCAGTAATTGTTTCTGGTTATTTTTCGCTGTGTTTTCTCTGCCTATACTTTTCGTTTCTCAGAAATGGATCACTCACTTTACATAGTGCTCTTTAAAGCCATTATATTCTCTATATGGTGGCTTGTTAACGACCTAAAATTGCTATTGCCGACCTCCATGTGCAGGCCTTACATTTCGTGTCGTGGACCCCATAAAACCTGATGAAACTAAAATTCGAAAACTCTATTTTTGGAAAGTCAAGTTAATACTGGTGTTTTGGATAAGTCCAATATAATCTCCTTCAGTCAAAATGTGCACTGTTCCCCGCCCGCAGCATACATATATAATCACCTAACATATGTAATGCACTACTGAGTGGTCCATTTCCCTACCATCTTCGCTTTTTCCATAGGATTTGGATAGTTCCTTCAAATACTTCTTGAAAAGTCTGATTATTATTTTTTTCAAAAACAGAATTTTCCACCAAATAATTGTGTTTGAGCTGGACGGTGTCTAGAAATTAAACAATAAAAAGTGTATTATATATATACTAGCCTTATAGTACGCGCAAAGCGCGTGTATCTATATTAATGAATATATAATATAAAAAATTACAACAATATTTTTGAATAATGTATTTGAGTTATAAAATAAATTATATTATAAAATATAAATTTTAGAAAATGATAGAATATTGATCCCAATTAGCTAGATTGTCTCATGTGAAATTTATTTGTGTAGGGTAAAAATGTCGATCAATACTTCATGAAGGGCACTATTTTAGAATACACGCTTTGCGTGTCTACCCATATCTCACATTCAATTTTTTTGTGTCGTTTTGAAAGTATTTGTTGGATTTGATGTTGAGCTAAAGAGTATCATAATTATGAATTGAGTTAGTTTATATCTAATTATAGTATTTAGTAAAATTTGTATTTACATTTTAGTACATAAATTATTCCTAATGAGAGTTGCACCTTGGACCTAGATTATTCCTAATGTAATTATTTTTTTAATAAAGCTTACAGAACTAAATTATGTGTCTATGGGAACTTTTGTATCTTTCTAACCACTCAAATTGATTCTAAGGATTCCCATCCATCTTATTCACGCTAGACCAAGTGGAACTTGCAATAGGATTGGAAGTTTGGAACTCTTCCTCGCATGTCCAAATGCAATTTGGTGAATACGGAATAGTTACTTGAAAATTAGTTGATTTATATAAGGTAAAAATATTTATTAATTTTAGAGTCCTACATGTTAAAGCTTCATACATAGTTCAAATA